ACATAACAAGCAACAATGCCAGACAGGCGATACCTTCTTTTGAGTTGTTGGCCAGGGTGGCCCAAGGGACTCCCAGGTAGTAACCCTGCATAGAACTGGGAAAATGAACAGCAGATCCTAATCTTATCTAAAGGAATATTGACAACTAATTACTGCTAGATGAGGAAGAGCTGATCTTCCTAAAACAAGGAACTCTAGAAAGGCTGACTGGATTCAGCGGATGGACAAGCACTGGGGAATGGCTGAGGGTGCCAACAACACATTGGACAGTAGTAACAGGGATGACAGAGTATATGGGCTCCAGTGGTTTGGGGGGGGGAGGCCTATGGGAGGGTGCCATTTGGGATGTGGGTATATAGATAAATAAGATTGTTTGGGATGTTCTGTATGAAATACACACAAAAAATCAACAAATTTAAAAAAAAGAGTTATATTTGAGGAAGAAGCATAAAAGTTTACTTCATGTTACTTAGTAGAGGTAAAAAACATTACCATTAAACTCTACCTGATGACTTTATATCCATACGCAGGTGCCAAGGATCTGAGTGTAACCGACTGTGACTAGTAATAATCAGATACATAGCAATTAGAGATGCATGTGCAAATACCTAAGCGTTAGTAGTATTAAAAATGAGTTTTTCTGTATGAAACAATATATTTTAAATGCAATGGAGATCTTTTTTAAAGGTTAAAACCTTATTCAATTTTATGTCTTATAGGGTTTATACTGAGTTCAATATTGTATAACTGTATTACTTCAACTGTGAACCTAAAAATTTATAGCCAATTTTGAAAGAGATGCATATTCACCCTGGAAATTGTTACTGAATATGTTAATGCTATAATGAAATGCTTCTTCTAATCATGTGGTTATTAAATAAAACATTTTTAAAATAAATTTTTTTAAAAAAGTCTTTTTGCACTCTTCCCTTTCCATTTCTGGCTACATATATTCCTTTCCATGAGGTATCTGTCTAGTGTTGACATGCTTAGTCTTCCTGTCTTAAGTGCTGTATTTTATTCTGTGATGGAGTAAATGTGTATGTGTGTGTTTTTCTGTTGTGCCTTTTTTTTTCAAAAAGTAGTTAAGCCAGTTAACCATGAATAAAAGGAAAAGGCAAGATTACTTAAATTAGAAGTAGATGAGAAAGTAAAG